TTTGTGTTTGTGTGTGTGTGTGTGTTCCATAATGAGGATACAGCTTGGGTCTTTGTGCATGTTAAATTCTTCCCCATGCTCTACCAAACCCAGTTTCATTACAGTAAATTAATATTTACTTCACTATGGATTGATCTTTACATTAGTGCCACTTGAAATATCAAATTGTATTTTTTACTTTTTAAACTTCTATGAACTTATTGTATAATAACTGGTAAGATAAGCAGTAAAGAATACATGCAAAAATGCAAAAAATTCAAGTAAGGCTGTTAAAGCTTTTTAACAAACAAATAACTAATAATATTTTAACGAAATCGTGGTCCTTACTACTTCGTTGGCTGTCACATATTTGTACCATTACTTGATGCCCCAAGGGCTCACACACCAGAGAATAATATATATCAGGAAGATATGCAAATACGTCCTCTCTCTGCTCATAAAACCATCCCTGCCCTCACCCCGCAGGTCAGGCAGAGGACTCTAGCCCTGTCTTCCCATTCAGTGAGCAGCACTGAAAACACGACAATCAACATGGGGTTGGGGCTGCGCTGGGTTTTCTTTGTTGCTCTTTTAAAAGGTAGATAACACGGATGCTGAGTGTGTGAGGAGACATGAGTGAGAGAGACAGTAGACTTTGTGACAGTTTCTTCATCAGGATCCTCTCTGTTTGCAGGTGTCCACTGTGAGGTGCAGCTGGTTGAGTCTGGTAGAGGATTAGTGAAGCCTCAGTGGTCATTGAAACTCTCCTGTGCGGCCCCTGGATTCACCTTCAGTAATGCTGCCATGAACTGGGTCCGCCAGGCTCCAAAAAAGGGGCTAGAGTGGGTTGCTCCCATAGGCACTAAAGTTATAATTATGGAACCTATTACGTGGATTCAGTGAAAGACAGATTCACCATCTCCAGAGATGATTCAAAACGCATTGCAAATGAATAGCCTGAGAACTGAGGACACTGCCACTTATTACTGTACAAGGGACACAATGAGGAGTCTTAAATGTGAGCCCAGAGAAAAAAATCTCCCTGACAGAATCCCATAGACAAAAGGAGGCATTCAACACACATTAGGCCCAGGTTTAGACATAATTGATTATTTTTTTTTATCTTGGTGCTCTCTTCACCT